CTATATCTAACGGTAAGTCTAAAATCTTCCATTTCTTTAGAAATAAAGACACACTATGCCTACTATGCTATTAAAAGACGTAGTTCTCAAAACAAATATCAAGATAAAGAATTGCAAGACCAACCCACAACCCTAACAATGATTATCAACCCGCAAGACAAGACTCTTAGAGTCGGGAGAAGAGGGGGTTGGTGTTGTGCGTGTATGTAAAAATTATAATTAGACCGCATTTGCTCAAAGCTTAGGTGGCACATTTTATAAACTTTCGTAATTGCCTAAACTGAATTAACATGACAATAAAGATGAAGAAAAAGCTCGATCTCGGACAATCGAAAAAGTATATTACTCATATTCTCATCCACATTTCTTAAAGAAAATTTATCGATCACATTGTGAGAGCTGAATGATTTCGCTCTGTGTGTGCTTGTGTACGTGTGTGTGTGTGTTTGTGTGAAGAGAGAGAGTTTTCTTTTCAACTAGAGTTCAGCATCCAGTTTCCAGACAAGTAGCAATTTGTAAGATAATATATAATCAGTTAATAATGTTCGATTTTATGTCCACGAGTTTAATTTAAATAATGGTAATTGCCAGGACTTGCGGTATGTTTACGAGCAAATAAAGTTAATTACCTAGAGTGCTGACATGTTTGCAATAAACTAAAGGTAATTCCCTGGAGTACAAATAAAGGTAATTGATTAGAGTTACATAAGAGACACGTACAGTGAACACAATTTATAATCACAATAAATCTTGACACTACTTGTCAAATTTGTGCAGTATGGTGAAAAATGAAGAAAGTAAACTGAAATATTGTCATTTCTACTCGGTTATCAAATTAAATACATAAAGACAGTCAATATGATGTAGCATAATATAATACAGTATAATATAATACAATATAATGCAGTATAATATAATACTAGAAGAAACTGATTTCTCCTTAATACAGAACAACATTATTGATCATGATTTTAATAAACGTGCCTGCCAGCTATCATCTGATCATCTGAGATACGTAACGTGTGAAATGTGTTTCAGTCAGTTAATTGTACCAAAATATTAAAACAAAGATGTTTAAAGAAACATCAAAATAAAAGAAATAAATACATACATTTGTAAACAGAGACAACTAAATTTGCAAACGATATATAAATAGCATTTCATATTTTTATTAATCAATAGTTTATCATGAAGATTTTCTGTCTTGATTATTAGAAAATATTCTATCGTGTGCTGAAAAATGGCGTTAAGCCCAACAACAACAACAAATATTCAAAATAAATGACAATACAAAAACTGATGTGGTGTATAGTATCTAAACACATACGATTCTATGGTACTCAGCGATTACCTCACAATCCGAATTATGGTAAGCCGCGATTATCTTACCAAATTAAATTGCATCTTGTTTATTTCAAGCCATGATGATTTTAAACAAACAGATACAGCTATAATTTAGTTTATGCATGAAACTAATGAAATCATTTTATTTTCCCTGGTTTTTAATGTTTGCAATTTTGGCATTTATTTGTAGTTATTTATTAAATTAGCCAATTATTATTATTATTATTATTATTATTATTATTATTATTATTATTATTATTATTATTATTATTATTATTATTATTATTATTATTATTATTATTATTATTATTATTATTATTATTATTATTATTATTATTATTATTATTATTATTATTATTATTAAGAATAAGAGTATACATAATGGTGCAGCAGAACAAAATAGTATGCAAAGTTTAGCATGCACTGAAACCGATGCATGTAAGAAAATGACATGTTCGGTTATTTAGAAGAATGTATAGAATTTCATATTGCCAAAACTAGATCCGTACAAAGTTGTAACCATTATATAATTATTTTAGGTTTGCAGACAATAATCAATATTAAAAAAATACTAATATTGATGTTAATTATATTTTATCATATCTAAAGTAAAATTTTAATATGCCTACATAGAAACAGCATACATTAGACAAAAAGTGTTTTAAAAACATACTTTAGTATCAAGTGGCATATCTAGAGTAGTTTGTATTCAAAATGTACAATTTACACTCCTTTCGAAAATGCAGAGGACTGGGTAATCTTACACACACACACACACACACACACACACACACACACACACACACACACAAGAAGCAAAAATGATTTCTTGTGTATCAAATGAAACAATTAAACAAAATATGACATTTACAGCAATTACGAAGAAAGGCATTACTATAATTATTATTATTATAATTTAATTTATTATTATTATTATTATTATTATTATTATTATTATTATTATTATTATTATTATTATTATTATTATTATTATTATTATTATTATTATTATTTCAAGTGAACATGCTCATAAGTTTGTAATCGCTGTAGGCATTTAAGAAATTGATAAATCAGAGTCTCATGACTATATAAAGTCAACGGTAGAAAAAGGTTGCATTCCTTATTTGCTCAGGTAAACAAAATGTATACATGACTAAGAATAACTATATTTATGCAATATAAGTTTTACACAAGTACAAATATACAATGTCATACAAGATTGACTGCATTCTGAATATTCCGTGTTTACATAATATTTTTTATAGCCGTGAGGGGCTTTTCATATGAATTGCATTTAGTACCAAAAATATGTAATTATTCAATCTAGACAAAAAACACACACACGCACAGACACACACAGACACACACACATATATATATGCATGCTCATTTACACACATGCATGCATGCACGCACGCACGCACACACACATACGCACGCACGCACATATACATACATACATACATACATACATACATACATACATACATACATACATACATACATACATACATACATACATACATACATACATACATACATACATACATACATACATACATATTATTGAATTTTGTAGCATATTAGGAATCAACAAAAACAAGTATGTCTTCCTCACCTTTGACTTTGATGCCATATTTTCTTTTTATATTATTTTCTATTTCACTCCAAATTATATGTACATACTGACACTGGCATAGAGGATGTATTGGCTATGAACGTGCTTTACAAAAGCTACAGGAATCGGACGAAGCCATTTTACATTTCACCATAAATATACTGGTTGTTAAAGTATAATAGATAATTTTTAATTTTTTATTAAAAGGTTTGTAACTTTGTGCCTGTAACCGATGTTTATATATATATATATATATATATATATATATATATATATATATATATATATATATATATATATATATATATATATATATATATATATATATATATTGGATATTTTGAATGGATTGATTTTTTTTATTCTGCTGGATTTGTAATTGCATTCTACACTTACATTAATTATAATGAACTGCGTATACATAAACTTATGTGGAATTTAGTTTCCTTTCTAAATATATTTCACATTATCTAACAGGAAAAAAGAAATTATTCACTTTTTATGTTTATATCCTTGTTGAGTTGAGATAATATTGACAATATTGATCAAAAGAAAAATACACGAAACCAAAATGTAAGAATGGGTCTATTTGGACGGTGTCAAAATAAATAGTTTCACAAATCATGGTGGATTTATTGCGTCCTCAGATTTCATGGAGTAAATTACAAGAAAAAATTAACCTGACCTTACCTGATACTTTTCATTTTATGTCTTGATGCTTCAGGTGTTTAAAAGAAATGTTAAGATAGATGTAGCAGTGTACAGCAAACTATTGTACTACTATTACTACTACTACTACTACTACTACTACTACTACTTCTACTACTACTACTACTACTACTACTACTACTACTACTACTACTAATAATAATAATAATAATAATAAAAATAATGATAATGATAATAATACTTAAAAGATAAATACTAAATAAAATATAAACTATTTATCCATCTCCTGCACACATCTGATGTAACTTCAAAGGAAATGTAAAAGGTGTATATGTGTCTTCTTTGATAAGTTAATCCATGTGATCTTTTTAAAATCTCAACAACTTTGTGACATGTTGATTGTCTTTCGAAATAATATGTTGTGCTCTTTCTGAAACAATTAAGGAAAACACAAAAGAAAATTGATATCGGTAGCCTGATATCTAACTTTGTATGATCTTTAAAGAGAGGCGGGGGAGAACATATGCGAACGGTTGGGAGAGTATTTGGCGTGTGGACAGACACACAGACAAAACGACATAATTATAAATATTGTAATAAAATTAAGGAGATGCGCATTTAGTTTAAGCAATTTGTAGGCTTGTGTGATTACATGTTTGAGTATTGGAATTTTTTGAAATGGGAAATATTTTCTAGCACCAAATAATTAGTTAATGATTAGGAGCAAACGTCACGGAGAAAAAGTGTTAGTGAGATGCCATAGCCAATGAGTGTCGAACTCAGACCCAATCCGCATGACTGTTCCTGCCTGGAGCGATATAGCACATTATAAAAACTAGTGGTATACATCGATGTTGTGACTGCAGCAGCAGTATTTTATGGTAGTAAACTGGTAAATTACACAATGGGATAAATGAGAAAGTACTCGGTAGATACCGTTTACGTTGCCATAGTGGCAAATGTGAGTAGATATACTAGTGTGATGTGCCTTGAAACGGTAGTCAGACTGGCCTCAGGTAGGCAGTTAAAATAGTTCCCCGTGTTAGGGATAGTTGTACAGATTCTACGGTGTGAATTACAAGCAGAACGGAAAGGTAATATAGAGAAACTGTGGGGATGTGCGTGCGATGGCTAAATTGCAAGTTGTAAATAATGTGTTTTTGTATTAATTATTGTAAACTTTATGTACAGAATGGACACGTCTGGCTTTCCGACTTACAACTGAAGTTGTATAGAAGTCTTTAAAAATATGAGGTAAACTTATGACTTCTAGCGGGATTCGAGCCCAGGGCTTTGACACCGATCGGTCAAGTAAAAGACCCCTGGCTTGTAACAATATTTTAATCATACAGTCAATAAGTTGATAACCGCTCCGGTGGCCTAGTGGTTAGAGCGTCCGCCTCGGATGCGGGAGGTCGTGGGTTCGATCCCCGGTCGAGACATACCAAAAGACTTACAAAAATGATACTAACAGCTGCCTCGCTTGACGCTCACTATTAAGAGGTTAGTGTTAGGACTGGTCGACCTTGTGTCAGGATAAAATGACTGGGTGGGACATCATGCTACATGTCTGCGGCATGATGCCCCAGTGCTAGAGATCACTATAAACTGCCACACTGCAGATATCGTAGCTATATGACTCAAAAATTGTTAAAGTTACGTTAAAAATTATAAACACCACACAAACAATAATTTGATAGTTGCAATACTGAGAATACAATATATCCATAAACAACAACATAATTATCCACTTGCATTGTACCCATTTCGATTTAATCCTCACATTTTTAATTTACAGTAATCAGATTCAGTCGATTTCTGCGATTAGTCATTGTCACGTTTTTATATAGATTAAAAAGACAATACGTGACAATAATTAATCTCGCTTGCACCCTGTAACATGTGAGTCAGTCAATACTTTTCTAATTGGTTTGATGTGCTCAAAATTGCACACAGGGGCGGCGGGTGGGTGAGTGGTCTAAAGCACACAGGGGCGGCGGGTGGGTGAGTGGTCTAAAGCTGGCCATATCACCTCTGTCCACGTGGGTTTAAATCTCGGTTTCGTGCGACATAGGTGTGTGAGAAGCTTGCCACTAGCTTCCCGATGGTAGGTGATTCTTACCACGTGTTTTCCGAGTTCTTACTCGGTGGAGTTATACTTGTCGCAAGCTAAAAATGGCGTTGAACCAAAATCAACAACAACAACAATAACAACAACGGCAGCAGCAGCAGTAGCAGCAACAACAACAAAAAGTCCAAAACTTCTGTCTGTTTATATTGAACAAGTCACCGTTCCATCTGTTGCACACCCTGCAGAGATTGAGACTGTCCGAGATAGTATCACAACGAGAATAACATTTTTGTAAACTTTTGCGACATGTTCCAAGCCGAGTGAAAATGGACATCCAAAATGGCATTCCAAAATTGCGTGTTTTGCATTTCTTTTATCAGATTGTCTGTATCAACGGTTTCAGTTTGTTTTAACACAAAAAAATCCAAATAACATTGGCACAAATGGCAAATGTAATATTTTGTCAGGACAATAATTTTTTTAAATAATTAATCAATATACATGAAAAACAAAATATAAAAAATACTATATAAAAATGTAAATTATTATAATATATTGAAATACATTATATCAGTAATAGTTTTAGGGAATTATTTTCCAGGAAAATACACAGATATTAAAAGTTCCTTATTTTCTTTGCACCATGTTAAGAGAGGATGCGCGAAAAAGTTAGATTCTTTGTGCTAAAACAATAAGTAACATTATTTTGTTGCTTGATCTGACATCTAAAAATTTTAAGCATGTATTCTGAGACCCAAAATAACTATGTTACAACAACATTCTAAATAGCAACAATGATACAATCGCAAAATTAAATAGATATAAAAAGAATTTAGATACTGCAAAAATGTATTGTGCATAATTTGTAGAAGGTATATTTAGCTTACAAGAAAAAAAAAAGATAACGAAAGCGGACTAACAAAAGGTCATGTTTGGCCCGATTCATTTGCTTTGCTAGTATGTTATGTGCCAACATATGATTCAGCCCAGAATCATGAGTGAAATGTCAATATTTTGATTCAATCCAGAAGCACGAGTAATATGTAAACGTGATTCAATCAAGAAACACAAGTGTCGTCAACAATTGATTCAATGCACAAAGAAGGTGACATGTTGACGCGAGTTTCAATCCAGAACCAATGCGTTTCAAAACCAGAAGCAAGCTGAAATTTCAACAGTTTATTCATTCCAGAGTTAAAATGATATGCTAACATTATTGATTCAATTAAGAACCACGTTATGATAACATGTGATGCAATCAAGAACGAAGGTGATATGCTAACACGTGATAGAATCACGTGATAAAATCGGCATGTGATTCTATCGGGAATCAAGCTGATATGGTAATCAAGAATCAATGGGCAAGGTGATACGTTACCATGTTATTTGCAAGTGATTCAATTCAGAATCAAGCTACGTTTACAGATGCAATTTAATATATTAGCATGTGATTCAATCAAGAATTAAGTTAATTCAGTTAAGAAGCAAAGTGTTATGTTCACATTTGATTCAGTCGAGACGCAAGATGCTATGTTAAAATGTTTTGAAATCAAGAGCCAAGTTGATACATTCACATATTATTTAATCAATATCCAAGGTGATATGATGTGCTGTCTATATCTGCAAATTTCTCCATAAGCCTCTTGGCTCTAGATTGAAGCGCTAACACAAAATTTTAAAAATGAGACTTGTAGTGTGTCCTAAATAGTCCCATAAGATACAGAGTTCTGTTACTTTAACATTGTTTTCTTCATTAGTATTGTAACTAGATGAGAGAGAGAGAGAGAGAGAGAGAGAGAGAGAGAGAGAGAGAGAGAGAGAGAGAGAGAGAGAGAGAGAGAGAGAGAGAGAGAGAGAGAGAGAGAGAGGAAGCTAAATGCTCGTAGGAAATGATCAACAACACAAATACACAATACATTATCATCCACAGATAAAAACAAGTTTAATGACTGGGAATTGACCTTTGATTATAAACGATGAGAGAGAGAGAGAGAGAGAGAGAGAGAGAGAGAGAGAGAGAGAGAGAGAGAGAGAGAGAGAGAGAGAGAGAGAGAGAGAGAGAGAGAGAGAGAGAGAGTATGGAATGAAATGGTAAGAGACATAGCCATTCGGAGTTTTCATGATGGCAGAATGATTTAAATATTTGGATTAATAATTTTACAAAATTTGATGTTTTTAACAATTGTGTTATTTAACAATTCACTAGATTTGCAGGTATAAACATTTCTGTGACCATTCTCATTTCTATACTGACTTCTTATTTTATCCAAATAATGACATTGAAAACGATGATGAAATTCAACACTTCTATTATGTGAGTGACATAAGTAATAGTTTCTTTCAGATATATCTAAATTTTGCCACGCTGTAGTAGTTATAACAGCTAACTTTTGATTCGCTGTACAGAGCGTGATAAAAGCTATTCTATACTTGTGACATATGTGTTAGAAGCGTTCCAAATGAAAACATGTTTTAAAATACTGATAAGTTCCACTGCTTGAGAAATCAAAACACTATTACGCTAAAATTGTGTACACATTCATGTATATTTCAACTAACCAACATGAGAGGAATAATTGAGATAACCATCAAAGAATTCAGTGTGATAAAGGAAATATATTTTAAATTGCATACTCTCGTAGTCCAAATATAGCGTTTTTTCGATAAAAAGTCTAGTAGGAATCTTCTGTTTTTTGAAATGACAGATTAAGGAAACACCAGCATTGTGCGAACTACATTTGGCAGCATCGGTGTTAAACGTCAACTTTTTCCTCTCTTGGATGCATTTGGAGTGAATGTCGACTTTTGTATCTCTAGTGATGGACGATTAGCGCTAACCTCCGACCTTTGAACTCTTGTTTTGGACGACTCAAGTTTAGATGTATGATGTTAAAATTCCAAATCGCTATAATCTGAAAGTTAGACACTACATTCCCAGTATGATGAAAGAGTTGTGTTGAAGTCACGATATGCCAAATTAAAATCTTTGTTATGTAAATGAGAACGACCAGCCGTTTTAAGAATATGCTTAAACAGTATATATATATATATATATATATATATATATATATATATATATATATATATATATATATATATATATATATATATATATATATATATGTTTCTCGGGAATCGCTCCGGTGGTCTAGTGATTAGAGCGTCCGCCTAGGATGCGAGAGGTCGTGGGTTCGATCCCCGGTCGGGTTATATCAAAGACTTAAAAAATAGTATTTACAGCTGCCTCGCTTGACGTTCAGCATTAAGAGGTTAGTGTTAGGACTGGTCGGCCTGGTGTCAGGATAATGTGACCTGTCATTACTGCTGAACATGTTTTCGAAAGGATAATATAATAAGCATAATATTAATAATAATAATAATGATTAATAATAATAATAATAATGAATAATAATAATAATAATAAAATACTTAAAACAATAGGGGACACGATCAAAGTAGAGAATGAGAGATACAGTAGAGGAAATTCCGTATTTGTAACGATTTTAATAAACCCAGGACAGGTACCCAAACATTTCGAATGTGAATCACTTCAGTTACATCATGTGCAAATACATCTCGAGTACATATATTGAACTTAACGAGACGAAACTATCCCATATACACAAGTGCGAAATATGTGAAAAATGCGTCATTACTTGTACTGGAAGCAAACGTAAAACGTTTTAAAAGTAGAACACATATGCAGAAAATATGTTTTGCATACATTTATAACATAAAATATGCATACGTGTAATAAAATTAATCCTATTGAAATAACATTCATATGGGTGAAATAGATGGTGTTACTTTACCTGTGAAATATATTCAAATAAATGGCTTTACTTTTCGTGGTAAATAAATTGCAATACTAGGTGCTATCATTACCGTGTAATACATTGAAAGAAACAGGTGGTAGTTTTCCTGTGCAATATAGTTAAATAAATGGCATAACCATTCCTGTGTAATACATTAAATAGGCGGTTGTTACTTTTTTGTGTAATATACGCAAATAAATGGGGTTTATGTCCTTCTATTATATTGAAATAGATCGTGTTTCTTGGCATGTTAAAATATATTAAAATTAAACAAAAATAACCTGCCAAGATCCAGTTGTTTCATAGAGGAAAGGTAATAAGCAAATACGTCTTGATATAAAACTTACTTGTTATATTTTCTTCAACAAGATATGAGACAGACTGAAATGCGCTTCGGTTGGAGATGCTGCTATTCTTACGTAAATATTTCTTCGACCGGAACCGTCGATTAAACTTGGCTCTAAAACGTCTGTGTTCAAACAGAGTTCTACCCATGAATACATAAAGTATTATCATCACAACGGACGTGACAATAATAAAAGCAATCAGGAAGAAA